GTTTCAGGATGGTTCAAGCACGTTACATTTATTGTGCACTTTATTTCTATTATTATACATCAGCTCCACCTCAGATCATCAGGCACTAGATCCCAGAGGCTGGGGACCCCTGCCATAAGGGACACTTTTGTAGTGACAGAACAAATCTGGATGTTGACTGTGGTGGGTATTACATGAATATATACATGTGATAAAACGGCATAAAATGAATGCACATGTACAAGTGGGTGCAAAACTAGTGAAATCTGAATAAGGTGGGTGCATTGTGCCAATGTGAATTCTCTGGTTGTGACACTGTAGTCTTGCAAGATGTTACCCTTGAGGGAAGAAGCGGGATGATGACTATAAGATATCTTGCTGTATTCTTTCTTATAATTGCATGTGATTCTACAATTATCTCAAATATAAAGGTTTTTAAGAGAATAAGTTTAAATCTTCGAAATAGATTTTCTTCTCTTTCTTTTATTTTGCATCTTTACAAGATGATGGATGTTCACTAAACTGTGGTCATCATTTCATGATATAGTTAAGTCAAATCGTTATGCTATCCACCCTAAACTTATACAGTGCTGCGTGTCAATTACATTATCAATAATACTAGAAGAAAATAAATCTTACGAATGGATCTTTTTAAATTCCTGGTGCAGTTGTTGACCAAACTCACCCTGTGATTTCACATTGCCTTTGTTTTTATAGTTTGTCTTCAATTTGTCTTCAATTCTCATATATACCTTTTTATTTTTTCTCTACCTGGAAAAAAAAAATCTTACCCTTTATGATGCAGCTTCGAAAACTTCTACAAATGTTTCCCTGACTCTGTTCACCTAACAGAATTGAATAAGTCTTACCTTTGCTTCCTTAGCACCAGGCATAGATTAATAAAAGGTGGTACATATTGAGCCCTTACTCTACACCAGGCACCTTAATCTTTACAACAACTCAGTGAGCAAGACATCGTACTCTCGCCGTTTGACTGATAGAGGAACTGAGGCGTTGAATTTGCCCAGTGTTATACAGAGAGCAGGTGGCAGAGTCAGCTTACATAGCTGACCAGTCTAACTCCAGAGCCCACAGGGCAACTGATGTACATCCTGCCTCTTCTATGAACCACTGGTTATCACTTAGCACACGGTATTGAGGTGTTTATATTCTCACCTCTCTCCCTTCTTCCGAAGGAAGAGTCGCTCACACTAGCTTTCTCCCCTTCTTCATCTCCCACTCATTAGGATCTGGCTTCTGCTCCCACCACTCTCTTGAAACTAGAATATGGCTCTCTATATCCACAAGATTCAACCAATCGTGGATCAAAAATACCCGAGGGATTTCCCTGGTGGTCCACTGGTTAAAAATCCACCTTGCAATACAGGAGACACAGGTTCAATCCCTAGCTGGGGAACAAAGAGCCTACATGTGGTGGAGAAACTAAGTCTGTGCGCCGCAACTAGAGAGTCCCTTGCACCACAAGGAAAGATCCCACATAATGCAAGGAAGATCTCACGTGCCACCACTAAGACCCAACCCAGCCAAATAAATAAATACTTTAAAAATGTCTTTATATTTGAAAAAAACCCAGAAAGTTCCAAAAAATAAGACTTCAATTTGCCACTCACCTGTCAACTATTCCCATAGTATTTACACTGCATTAGGTATTCTAAATAATCTAAGGGCTTCCCTGATAGCTCAGTTGGTAAAGAATCCACCTGCAATGCAGGAGACCCCAGTTCGATTCCTGGGTCAGGAAGATCCGCTGGAAGAGGGATAGGTACCCACTCAAGTATTCTGGCCTGGAGAATTCCATGGGCTGTACAGTCTAATTGAATTGATTAATAAACTAATCTAAATAATCTAAAGATGATTTGAAATATATGATAGGGTGTGCCTAGGTTATGTACGAACACAATACCACTTTATATAAGAGACTTGAGCATCTGTGGACTTTGGTATCCTGGGGGTGGGGAGTGGAGGGAGGGCTGGTCCTGAAGCCAATGCCCCAGGGATACTGAGGAACAATTATACACTCACAGTGGTCACCGATGACCTAACGGTTCTCAACACTTTCTGTTTTCTCCTGATTTCTCTGTGTCGGGAACTTCTGAGCCCTCTCCCCATCTAGAAACAATCTCTCCCCTTGGTTTTCCTGAGCCCCTGCTCTCTGTTTCTTCTGCTATTGGCTGCTCCCCCGTCTCCTTAGTCTCCTTGGCTGCCAACCCTTAAACTTTCATCCCTTCCTTTCCCCACCCCACTTCGTTCTTAATGTTCGTCCCTTTTCCCTCTGCATCCTCTTCCTAGATAGTCTCCTCCACTCCAAAGTATTTCTTCCAACCCAGATATTTCTTTTGACCTTAACATCCATAAAGCCAGGTGTTCCTACCCCCAACTCTATGTTTTCCTATGTAGACTTTTACCACAGCACCTCTTTTTCAAATTTATTTTTTCTTAGCACCTGGCGTAGAGCAGGTGTTCAATAAATATATTTTTTAACAAGAGAACTTAGGTAAAAACAGATTAGAGGGTGTTTTGGTAAAGCAGGCCAAAATGATGATGCTATAAACTATAAAACTCTGCTGGAGAAGAAACTGGATTTAAAGACAGAACAGGCTGGCCTTTGGGGACTGATTAAATGCAGAGCTGGAAGCGAGAGACAAACAGAACTTACATGTGTCTGGCTGTAAAGTGTGCAAAGAGAGAAGGCTGGCCCTCTTCTTTGGTCAGCTTTCCAGATAATTGCCAATATATCATTTAATTTTGTTTTGTGCTGAATAAGATAGATGCAGGGCTTCCCAGGCGGCGCTAGTGATAAGAAACCTGCCTGCCAATGCAAGAAACACAAGAGATGCAGGTTCGATCCCTGGATAGGAAAGATCCCCAGGAGAAGGAAATGGCAACCACACCAGTATTCTTGCCTGGAAAATTCTCTGGACAGAGGAGCCTGACAGGCTACAGTCCATGGAGTTGCAAAAGGAGGAAGATCTCCCTAAGCCATTAGTTAACTGCACCAGTTCCACCAGCCTATAAGCTCCATGAGAACAGAGATCCTGTCTGTCTTGGCCTCAATGCCTTCCCCAGGGACCAATATATCCTAGGCATGCAACAAATACATATCATCTTCTACTGAGTATCGTCTATGCACCAGGAACTATACTACCTGCTTTACATATATTTTCTTTAAAAAAAAATATTTATCTATTTATTTGGTTGTGCCAGGTCTTAGCTATGGCACTCAAAATCTTTGATCTTCACTGAGGCATGCGGGGTCTTTAGTTGCGTCATTTGGGGTCTTGTTCCCCGACCAGGATTGAACCCAGGTTCCCTGCATTGGCAGTAGGGAGTCTTAGCCACTGGACCACCAGGGAAGTCCTTATATTTTATTTTCTTCATTAATACTCACTACAATTCTGACACCAAATTCTGATGTGTGGGGTTTTCATCCCACACCAAGCAATTCCTGGACACCAACTGAATGTCCTATAATTCAACTCAGTTCTGACACTATCTCCTTAAAGATAGATAGTGTCAGACCCAATAGGTTAAGGGCTCAGTCTTACAAGACTGCTGCTCACTTAAAACGCCCATGTCAAGCCCAAGTTGTCACCTTATGCTTCAGACTTGGGCTATAAATCCAAGGTCCTACAACCTGCTCTTTGGTCCTATTGATTTGCTAGAGCAGCTTACAGAACTCAGAGAAACATTTTACTCTGAGTTCAGTTTGTTATAAGAGGATGTGACTCAGGAAAAACCCTATGGTACAGATGCTTAGGGCAGGGTACAGGCTAAGGGCACAGAGCTCCCAAGGCCTCTGGGTACACAACTCTCCCTGAATCCCCAATGTATTCACTGACCTGGAAGCTCCCTTAACTTCATCCTTTTAGGTTTTTATTGAAGACTCATCAGCTGCTTTCCTGGTGGCTCAGTGGTGAAGAAGCCAGCTGTCAAGCAGGAGACACGGGTTCCATCCCTGTGTTGGGAAGATCCCCTGGAGTAAGAAATGGCAACCTGCTCCAGTATTCTTGCCTGGAGAATCCCATGGACCGAGGAGCCTGGTGTGCTATAGTCTATGGGGTCACAGAAGAGTTGGACATGACTTAGCAACTAAACAACAACAACAAGAGACCTCATTACTCAGCATGATTGGTTAAATCATTGGCCACTAGGAATTGATTTGACTTCCAGTCTCTCTCTCCCTCCCCAGAGGTCAGGAACTGGGACTGAAAGTTCCAACTCTCCAGTCATGTGGTTGCTTCTCCTGGCAACCATCCTCAGGTACAGTTCAACATTCACCTCATTAACGTTACAGAAAACATTGTGGTTATTCTCTCATCCCAGGAAATTCTGAGTGTTTTAGGAGTTTCTGTGCCAGAAACTGTACAAAACCCAAACATATTTTTTTATTATACCTCACAGTATCACACTCATCAGAAAAAGAGAAAAAGACTCATTTCAGGAGTGAAGATGGTTTGGAAAGTTTAGTTGCCTTGTTCAAGTTTGTACTGCAAGTGAAGTAGCTAAGGCAGGAGTTAAACCTAAATGGGTCTGTAAATCAACTATACCTCAGTTTTTTAAAATTTTTTTAAAGTGGGGGGGGGAATAGCTAAATGGGTCTGATTCCAAAGGCTACCCTTTAATGGATTGCTATATATCTTTCCTCTGTGTGTGTGTGTGTGTGTGTTAATTGCTCAGTCATGTCCAACTCTTTGCAACCCCATGAAATATAGCCTGCCACGCTCCTCTGTCCATGGAATTCTCCAGGCAAGAAGGGTTGCCATTCCCTTCTCCAGGGGATCTTCCCGACCCAGGGATCAAACCCAGGTCTCCTGCATTGCAGGCAGATTCTTCCAGGGAGATGAATTTATGCAATAGGGAAGAAACTTTGTCTGCTATTAGAAGTTAATTACTAAAAGGACCTTGCCTATAAGCTTAAATCATACATAGTAACCCATTTCTGGGAACCCTGCCTTCCAGGTGGTGATCTTTAAGCCAAATTATCTCTGTTTACTTCACAGGAAGATCCTGAACAGGCCCACCTGTGAACGGCTACACAGAGGAAGAAACTAACAGATCCCCTCCAGAGTGTGGCTGAACCAGGACTTTATTCCTCCTCTTTTAGTGTAAAAGAAGCCTGAATTCTAATTTGGGCAAGATGCTCCTTTAGAACATGAGCTTGCCATCTTCTCTGTCTGCTGACTTTCCGAATACAATCGCTGTTCCTTGCCCAACACCTCATAACCTGATTGACTGATCTGTCCTGCAGTGAGTGGGATGAGCTTGAACTTAGTAACGCATTTTGGTGAAGCCAGCCAGGAGTCTTTCTGTTTGTGACCAGCTGGCCTGGCAATGAGGAATTCTCAAGGAAGGCCGTAGCAGCTGCTGGTACCACTTGTCCTGAGTATCTTCCCTAAAGAATTACCCAGAGCGACCCTGGCTGCCTCAACGCTTGGCAACTAGAGCAAGGAGTTGACATCTGGGAGCTGAGGGGTTCCATACAGTAGGGTAAGTGCTCTGGTATGTATAGACAGAAATTTAATTTCCATCTTTTGGGGTATTTTCCCCTCCAGAATAAGCTGATTTGTTTTATGTTAGATTGGGGTACCCTGTTGGAGAGAGAAAATAATTGCTGGACTTTTACCCAATTTGTGAACTGATTTATTTGGATGCTAGCATTTGTGTGTGCTGTTTGTATTTTGTCTTATTTTTAGCAATGTTTGGCCTCAGTACCTGTTAGGATCTCTGCAAAAGGGTTTAGGCAGGGTTATCTTGAGACCTTGTATGCCATGTAGCATCACCCTTGCTGTGCTAATTATGTTGTTGGTGGTCTCCTATGTTGTTGGCCCAGTTCCAACAGCTCTCCAAAGAGTCATGTTGCAAGAGGGGTTGAGTTGATGGTTCTTGTGATACATAAAGCCCTCAGACCAAATTTGAGAGTTTATTTTGTTCTTTGGGGTTTTTTTTAATATAATTTTGTTTTGGTACCATTTCTCCATTTACAGACTGATGTCAAGTGGAGGAAAGGAACAGCAACAAAAAAATCTGTCTGTTCTTGTCTGAATGTGGGACATTTTCAGGGAGAAGACAAAGCTTCCACCTGGTTCCTAAAATCACCAAAAGGCCCATCCAAGAAATCAGCCTGGTTGGTTGATGCCAAGTCAAAAGGGCTTCCATTTAATGGTTAGAGATGATTGATTGCTCTTTGTGGCTTTGTGGTGGCCTTTGGATGGCTCTATAGCTATTCTGTGAAGAATGATGAAATCAGTCCTCTAATGTGCAAGCATTTGAGCTATTGCATTAATGTAGGAAAAGGTCAGACAGTCGTCACCTTGTGGTAAAAGGAATCCAAGGGAAAATCTTCACGCAGGAAGGAAGAAAAAGGAATGCATGCAGGCTAAGTTGTTTAGGTTGTGTCCCACTCTTTGCGATGACATGGACTGTAGCCCACCAGACTCCTTGGTCTATGGGATTTTCCAGGCAAGAATACTGGAATGGATTGCCATGCCCTCCTCCAAGGGTTCTTCCCAAACCATGGTTGATCCTGCATCTCTTAATGTCTCCTGCATTGGCAGGTAGATTCTTTACCACTAGTGCCCCAAAAAGGAAGCCCAAAAAAGGTGGGTGAGGCTATATTGCTCCAACCTCCTGTTGAACTGGCCGTCCCAACTGCCCAGAGGTTATGCCATGCAACCCCAGTTCCCAACACTGGGGATTGGGAAGTGGTTGGACTGGCTCTCTCTGCTTATCAGGATCAGCTGGAAAATTCTTTCTTAGCTCCTGGGGCACAGGGGCCTGGGCTGCTATCCCCGTCTAAGATCCAACAGAGCACACAGTTTGGGCCGGGAGCCATTCCCAGGGCAAGGCAATTTCCCTTATGTTGCATCCCAGAAGGCAGTGGTCACCAGTCTTTCTGGCACCAGTGACTAGTTTCATGGAAGACAGTTTTTCCATGGACCAGGAAGGGGGCAATGGTTTGGGGATGATTCAACCACATTACATTTATTGTTCACTTTATTTCTATTATTATTACATCATCTCCACCTCAGACCATCGATCATCAGATCCCAGAGGTTGGTGACCCCTGCCATCAGTTCAGTTCAGTCGCTCAGGTGTGTCCGACTCGTTGCGATCGCATGTATCACAGCATACCAGGCCTCCCTGTCCATCACCAACTCCCGAAGTCTACCCACACCCATGTCCATCGAGTCGGTGATGCCATCCAGCCATCTCATCCTCTGTCATCCCCTTCTCCTCCTGCCCCCAATCCTTCCCAGCATTAGGGTCTTTTCCAGTGAGTCAACTCTTCGCATGAGGTGGCAAAGTATTGGAGCTCCAGCTGCAACATCAGTCCTTCCAATGAACACCCAGGACTGATCTCCTTTAAGATGGACTGGTTGGATCTCCTTGCAGTCCAAGGGACTCTCAAGAGTCTTCTCCAACACCACAGTTCAAAAGCATCAATTCTTCGGCGCTCAGCTTTCTTCACAGTCCAACTCTCACATCCATGCATAAATACTGGAAAAACCACAGCCTTGACTAGATGGATCTTTGTTGGCAAAGTAATGTCTCTGCTTTTTAATATGCTATCTAGGTTGGTCATAACTTTCCTTCCAAGGAGTAAGCGTCTTTTAATTTCATGGCTGCAATCACCATCTGCAGTGATTTTGGAGCCCAAAAAAATAAAGTCTGACACTGTTTCCACTGTTTCCCCATCTATTTCCCATGAAGTAATGGGGCCAACTAAGATGCCATGATCTTAGTTTTCTGAATGTTGAGCTTTAACCCAACTTTTTCACTCTCCTCTTTCACTTTCATCAAGAGGCTTTTTAGTTCCTCTTCACTTTCTGCCATAAGGGTGGTGTCGTCTGCATATCTGAGGTTATTGATATTTCTCCCGGCAATCTTGATTCCAGCTTTTGCTTCTTCCAGCCAAGCGTTTCTCATGATGTACTCTGCATAAAAGTTAAATAAGCAGGGTGAAAATATACAGCCTTGATGTACTCCTTTTCCTATTTGGAACCAGTCTGTTGTTCCATGTCCAGTTCTAACTATGCTTCCTGACCTGCACACAGATTTCTCAAGAGACAGGTCAGGTGGTCTGGTATTTCCATTTCTTTCAGAATTTTCCACAGTTTGTTGTGATCCACACAATCAAAGACTTTGGCATAGTCAATAAAGCAGAAATAGATGTATTTCTGGAACTCTCTTGCTTTTTCGATGATCCAGCGGATGTTGGCAATTTGATCTGTGGTTCCTCTGCCTTTTCTAAAACCAACTTGAACATCTGGAGGTTCACGGTTCACATATTGCCGAAACCTGGCTTGGAGAATTTTGAGCATTACTTTACTAGCATGTGAGATGAGTGCAATTGGGCGGTAGTTTGAGCATTCTTTGGGATTGCCTTTCTTTGGGATTGGAATGAAAACTGACCTTTTCCAGTCCTGTGGCCACTGCTGAGTTTTCCAAATTTGCTGGCATATTGAGTGCAGTACTTTCACAGCATCATCTTTCAGGATTTGAAATAGCTCAACTGGAATTCCATTACCTCCACTAGCTTTGTTCATTGTGATGCTTTCTAAGGCCCACTTGACTTCACATTCCAGGATGTCTGACTCTAGGTGAGTGATCACACCATTGTGATTATCTGAGTCGTGAAGATCTTTTCTGTACATTTCTTCTGTGTATTCTTCTTAATATCTTCTGCTTCTGTTAGGTCCATACCATTTCTGTCCTTTATTGAACCCGTCTTTGCATGAAATATTCCCTTGGTATCTCTAATTTTCCTGAAGAGATCTCTAGTCTTTCCCATTCTGTTGTTTCCCTCTATTTCTTTGCATTGATCACTGAGGAAGGCTTTTTTTCTCTCTCCTTGTTATTCTTTGGAACTCTACATTCAGATGGGAATATCTTTCCTTTTCTCCTTTACTTTTTGCTTCTCTTCTTTTCACAGCTATTTTTAAGGCCTCCTCAGACAGCCTTTTTGCATTTCTTTTCCATAGGGACGGCCTTGATCCCTTTCTCCTGTACAATGTCACAAACCTCCGTCCATAGTTCATCAGGCACTCTATCTATCTATCAGATATAGATCTATCAGATATAGATCTATCAGATCTAATCCCTTGAATCTATTTCTCACTTCCACTGTATGATCATAAGGGATTTGATTTAGGTCATACCTGAATGGTCTAGTGGTTTTTCCTACTTTCTTCAGTTTAAGTCTGAATTTGGCAATAAGGAGTTCATGAACTGAGCCACAGTCAGCTCCCAGTCTTGTTTTTGTTGACTGTACAGAGCTTCTCCAACTTTGGCTGCAAAGAATATAATCAATCTGATTTCAGTGTTGAACATCTGGTGATGTCCATGTGTAGAGTTTTCTCTTGTGTTGTTGGAAGAGGGTGTTTGCTATGACCAGTGCGTTCTCTTGGCAAAACTCTATTAGCCTTTGCCCTGCTTCATTCTGTACTCCGAGGCCAAATTTGCCTGTTACTCCAGGTGTTTCTTGACATCCTGCTTTTGCATTCCAGTCCCCTATAATGAAAAAGACATCTTTTTTGGGTGTTAGTTCTAAAAGGTCTTGTAGGTCTTCACAGAACTGTTCAACTTCAGCTTCTTCAGCGTTACTGGCTGGGGCATAGGCTTGGATTACTGTGATATTGAATGGTTTGCCTTGGAAGTGAACAGAGATCATTCTGTCATTTTTGAGATTGCATCCAAGTACTGCATTTCAGTCTCTTTTGTTGACCATGATGGCTACTCCATTTCTTCTAAGGGATTTCTACCCACAGTAGTAGATATAATGGTCATCTGAGTTAAATTCACCCATTCCAGTCCATCTTAGTTCACTGATTCCTAGAATTTCGACGTTCACTCTTGCCATCTCCTGTTTGACCACTTCCAATTTGCCGTGATTCATGGACCTAACATTCCAGGTTCCTATGCAATATTGCTCTTAATGCATCGGACCTTGCTTCTATCACCAGTCACATTCACAACTGTGTATTGTTTTTGCTTTGGCTCCATCCCTTCATTCTTTCTGGAGTTTTCTCTCCACTGATCTCCAGTAGCATATTGAGCACTTACCAGCCTGGGGAGTTCCTCTTTCAGTATCCTATAATTTTGCCTTTTCATAATGTTCATGGGGTTCTCAAGGCAAGAATATTGAAGTGGTTTGCCATTCCCTTCTCCAGTGGACCACATTCTGTCTGACCTCTCCATCATGACCCGTCTGTCTTGGGTGGCCCCACACGGCATGGCTTAGTTTCATTGAGTTAGACAAGACTGTGGTCCTGTGATCAGATTGGCTAGTTTTCTGTGATTATGGTTTTAGTGTGTCTGCCCTCTGATGCCCTCTCACAACACCTACCATCTTACTTGGGTTTTTCTTACCTTGGGCGTGGGATATCTCTTCACGGCTGCTCCAGCAAAGTGCAGCTGCTGCTCCTTACCTTGGACAAAGGGTATTTCCTCACGGCCGCCCCTCCTGACCTTGAACATGGAGTAGCTCC